GCCCTCCCCTGTGAGCTTGGGCACATCCCTCACAAACTTTAAATACAGTGAATTTCTGACCTTAACACAAATTGCAGTGTCTTTGTGATAATTCCCAGGCTTGCTTTAGTAATAGATGTCAGTTAGCTGGTAGACTTAATGTCCTTTCCTGGGCAGTCCAGGGACCATCAGCCAGCTCAGACAAAAGTGACTGGTCTGTGGTGACAAGTTTTGCACGGTCTGTATTAATTTTTACATGAGATGCCCAGAATCAGTTATTGAGTAGGAAAAGACAGACTTGGCCACGTTGTGCCTGGCCTTTGTCAGAAATAGCTCCTTCACCTCCCACCTCAACGGCTGACACTGGAGCCCACTTTTGCGGGTGTGTGTGTGTGTGTGTGTGTCATGGTTTTTAACAAGAATTGGCTTTACCAGGCTCCTCAGAGAAATGGCCTATTGCTGGCTTGGTGCAGAGCAGTAATTGAGGACCTATGATGTTTAAGAAGTTTGACCCAAAAGTAAAGGGATGTGGGTTCTGTTCCTTCTTTTACACATGTGAACACAATAGCCACTCGATCCCTTCTCCGTTATGGAGGAAGGAATTTTGTAGAAGGGGGAGGACTTCCGGCAACTTGGAGTGGCATAAATCCCATTTGAATTGTTGAAATTTCTCCAGCTGTGCACCAGGACTTGGTCTCTCCAACTGTCCAGTGAAAACTGTGTGTGTGAGTCACTCGTCTACATTGTTTCAAGCACTTGGTTAGAGTGAATAGATTTAGTTTCATTGGTCAATAAGGCTTAGCCTTCTAGACTTTGCTTAGTGAAGAGATGATAAACAAAAACATCTTTAGATGCTGGCACATCTGTGGAGCTCCCAGCTTGTTAGTGTGAGTCCAGGATTGGCGGCAGGAAAGCCTGCTGTAGGCCTGGCCCCTGAGATTACGCTGAGGCCTGAGGTGGTGCTCTTGGTGGTATTAGGGACTCTGCCTGGGTGAGAGAGACATTCAGGAAAGGAAAGTGGACACGTGCCAGTAGCCCACAATCTCACAGCCTCTCCTCCCAGAAGTGCCCGGGGGGGGGGGGTGGGGGGGGGACGACGATGACGCTGGATGGGCTTAGCACAGAACTCACTGGTCCCATCAGCCGGGCCCAGCTGTCTGGGCTGCTAGCAGGATCTCACTGGTTACACTACTCTGCCTGGTGCAGTTTGTTTCAGGGGACAGCAGCTCAGCCACGCTGCACAGCGTGGTGGAGGAATTGGTCCGATTCCGGCTCAAGGTCCGGCAGTTTGCCCTGGCCACGGGAGAGGCTACCAAGGAAGCCCGGCGGCAGCGGCTCCTAGAGAGGCAGCCCCTGCTGGAGGCATGTGACACCCTGCGCCAGGACCTTGCCGCCCACGGCGTCAGTATTAAGGTGAGCCACTGTCACCGAGGCCGTGTCAATGGGGATGACCATCCTGAGATGCTGTGCAAACCAGCTGGCTCACACAGACATGGGGGAGGGTCCAAGCTCAGATCCCCTGTGATAATGCTGCTTGTGAGCAGATACCCATCCTGTGACGAAAAGGAAGGCATGGGGTCAGAGCCAGGAGGGACACTGAGGTGGAGGGACCTGGGAGAGGGTCAGAGTCAGAACCTGGAGGGAGACTGTGGCCCCAGGACATGTGTACTGCAGCATCTGCTGGGCACAGAGCAGACCTGTGCTCTTGCCCAGTCCTTTCCTGACCCAAGTGCTGCCCCAGCCTGACAACGGAAGGCAGCAGCTGACCGTCTCTAAGCATCCAGCTGCTTCCTGTAGCGCGGCCCAGCAGGCAGTGGACACAGCAGGCAGTGCCTCCTGACTATCTCCCTGTTTACTCCTTGAGCCGAGAGCGCCTGCTCAGCCGGACCTTTTTCCTCCCCACCCAGGACAGGAGCAGCACATCCACATGGGAGCTGCTGGGTCAGAGGTCAGAAGACCACAAACCTGGGAGCTGAGGATGCGTGAAGCGGGAACCACAGGCTCACAATGCGGCTCTGTGTTTACTTAAGTCCCTATAGAAGCTTTACATTAAAGTTCGACATTGTGACTATTTAGTCAACATTAAATCAAACTGGTATCATTCCATTGGTGTGTTAGTAACTATGCTTAAAAATGGATTTCTTTATAGTACCAACAGCCACAGACTCAAGTATAGTTTAGTTAAATCAGTCATTATCATCATCTGTGATAACCCAACCAGCCAGAGCCCAGGATGTAAGTCAAATGGGGGTCCCAGAAGCCGCCATAGGAAGGTAGGTGGGACCTGTGAGTGGGGCCAACAGGGCAGCAGCTTCCAGGACAGCCTTTATCCCAAGAGGATCTTGGGGGGTGGGGGGGATTGCCATGCTGCCTGCTCCAAAGCAGGAGGAAACAGCCTGCGCCTCGAGTGCTGGGCAGTGATGAACTGGGGGATGGTCACCCTGGAGGAGTGGGACGGCAGGGGTGCGAGCAGCACACACAGGTGTGTGTGACAGAGGAGGCCAAGGCCAGGGGGGCGAACACACGGCAGACTGCCTGGGACCGAGCTTGCTGGCCTTGATCTCGGTCCCCTCACCTTTCTGCACAGTGGGGAGCTAGAGCTGTTTGGTGAACCAGAAGGAAAAGGTGACCCTCTTGCCGATTCTCCCAACTCTCAGTCCTGGCTAGGTGCAGCCTCAGGAAGCAGGTAAGCCACATGCCAGGCTCATTGTAGATAGCCTGGTGTGCCTCTGCAGCGTGTTTGTCATTGACGTTCATGACCCTCAGAGGCATTTCTCTTCCATAGATAAGGAAACCTGTTCAGAAGCTGACATGCTAAAAGTGACTCAATTAGTGCATCATGCGTGGTAGAGTGCAGACCCAGGTGGCAGGCAGCCCCTTACAGAGAGACAGCCAAACTGGTCGAATCAGTACTGGGGAAGCAGACTGTCCCCTGTTGGCCAGACGCCTAACTTGCCATCAGCAGTTCGGTGCTGCTTTCCTGGTCTCAGGGAATCTGCCAGTAAAAGTGTCCTTAACTGGACTTGTGAGGATGCTCGGGGTTAGAGAATAAGGAAGCAATTGCTAACTTCATTTAAAAGTAGCAGTTCATGGTTACTTGGGTATATCCTATCTCCCTTTTAAGCAGAGATTTTGTACTTAGAGCAAAAATTTAAGTAACAAATACATAGGAATAGTTCCTATGATTGCTAAATTTTATATATAAAGAAACGGTGACATTTCAGGCTTATGCCTCAAATTATTTATTTTAGTACATTGGTTAAGCACTGGTGAAAAACACATTAGATAGATAAGCTTATACATGTTTATGTCCCTAATACCTAACAGTGTCCTCAACTTAGGAAGCTGAAAGATGCCGAAACCGGTTTGACTCAATGGATAGAGCGTCGGTCTGTGGACTGAAAGGTCCCAGGTTCGATTCTGGTCAAGGGAATGAATGTATCTTGGTTGTGGGTACATCTCTGGTAGGGGGTGTGTGTGCAGAAGGCACTGGTCAATGTTTCTAGCTCTCTGTCTTTCTCCTTCTCTCTCTGTAAAAAATCAATAAAATATATTTTAAAAAATAAAAATAAAATAAATCTCTATATTGAAATAAACCAGATATGCCTTTTAATAATTAAAAACTCATGGCTGGTTTAAAGAAAGTATCATCTGTTTGGGGTGACATAGCTGAACAACGGAGCTTCACCAATCATCAGGGGCAGACAGACTTTTAAAGGAACCAGCATTATTAAATAGTGAGAGTACTCTCAAGTGCATGTCAGAAACCAAACCCCACAGAGAAGACAGAAAAACAAGTCACTCTCAGGCCACAAAGAAAGCAACACATACAACCAAACAAAAAAAAAAAGAGAACCAGAGGCTAACAAGACAACAAAACGTCTCATTTACAACAATTTCAGATATATCAACTTCTTTAGTGGAATTTAAATCTTCCTGAGGACACACCCACCCATTTCCCCCATTTCCAAACCAGAAAGCCTACGGTTCTGCTCTGTTCCGTTCCCCCCAGGACCCCATCATCCAATGCCTCCTCCCAAGAGAACACACCAATGGCCACATCAGGAACACGGCACCCCTCCCACTCATGGGCACTCTGCTGGGCCTCGCCAGCATGAAAAAGTGCAAGTGTAAGATACGAAGTATTCCGCCAAAAATGGTTTGGCTCAGTGGATAGAGCGTTAGCCTGTTGACTGAAGAGTCCCAGGTTCGATTCCAGTCAAGGGCATGTACCTTAGTTGCGGGTACATCCCCAGCAGGGGGTGTGCAAGAGGCAGCTGATCGATGATTCTCTCTCATCGATGTTTCTAACTCTCTATCCCCCTCTCTTCCTTTCTGTAAAACAATAAAATATATTTTTTTAAAAAAAGATACAAAGTATTCCAGAGCCCCACCAGGGCATTCAGGTATCAATGTCCCATTAAGTTTCCTTTTCAGATTTTCCCATGGTGCCTCCAAAAAGATTTCCAAGGTCAAACTGATTACTGATTATTCTAATACTTTAACCAATTAAAACAACCAATACTTAGTATTTCTGCCCAGACCTTTTCAACATAATCACAGTTTAAAAAATAAAAATGAGCTAAATAATAAATGCCACATCCTTTGGTGGATCTCAATTTAAAAAAAAGCAAATCTCATTATTCTCAAAGCTATCTGGAAACGAATGACTGGATGCCTTTGAAAGAACTACCTAATGAGAGGAACTTCTTGCACAAATGCCTCCAAATTCAGTTGAACTGTGAACTGGTTAAAGACTTTCTCATTTTCAAGTGATTATCTATATTTTTATTATTGTTTAGTGTCATAATGTCACAAACTGTGTATTAATTTAGCCAAAAATTGCTCATTCCCAATTCTTACATTCTCTACATCAACCCATGTAGCCTAGACTACCAGCTTCCTAAGCAGCCTGTGCTGCTCTGGTACCCAGAGGATTCAGACATACTGGATGAGGCCTTTCCCATTGCAAATGCAGTTTCTCCCCCCATGGTGCTCACTTCCTTCTCGTTTGCATCGGCTCAGGTTTCGAAGAGTCTGCTGAATGCAGGTCCAATTTCTGGGATCATGTCGGAGGTAGTGGTGGAGCGGCCGTACTTCTGGAAGGCTTGGTGGCTGCACTGCCTTGTGAGGGAGCACGCACCAAAGGCAGCCACGAGGGGAGGGCTGAAACTGCAGGGCAGAGACATTAGCAAGGCGCTGTGGGAGGTGGGAAGTCCTCCCTCCACGGCTTCGTCAGACATCAGGGACCTGAAGCCACCGAGGCGCTGATTTCCTTCCTATTTCCACTGAGACCCCAATTTGGCAATTTCTCGTCTGATATGCCACTGAGGACTAAGCAGCTTTACTACAGTTAAAATAACCACTAGTCCTCTGATACTGATATTCCCTGACAAAAGGCATATCAAAAATACCTATCCACCTGGAGAAAGGTGAGAACACAGCAGTTTTCCCCTGGTGAAAATCAGACCAGGGCTTGTGGATTAGCATTTAGAAGTACGGAATATTCCAAACCTGAGAATGCAGGTTCTTCCTAACATCACTAGACTTCCGCTGTAGCTCCTGCCCGTGCGCACACGTGGGGATGCTCTCTGCCTGCCAGGTGTGCTACACCCTCACAGGCCCAACACTGCTTTACCAGGTGTCAGGCAGGGCCTTCCAGACCCAGGACATCCCACCCGGCGTGCATGGCCATCTGTCATCATGAGATTGTAGGAAGAGAAACTGAGGCTCACAGAGAGGTGGGAGCTACCAGAGTTCACTTACAAAAACTAAGAGCCGAAATGGGCCAAAGCCCAGATCCTAGAATTCTGTTCCTCAAAAACAAAACTCTCAAAGCTCTACCCACACCTGCGTACTTTTTATTCTTTTATAATAGGTATGCAACGAACCTTCTAGAACAGTGTCCTCAAACTTGGCTGCACATTAGAATTACCAATAGTTTCAAAGGCTAGGGATGCCCCAGACCCTACCAGTATTGAATGATGGAAAGGGGCCCAGATTTAAGGAGTGAAAGCTCCCCAGGCGAACGTTTAGGGATCAACTTCTGCCCTGGAATATCTCCCACGTGACAGTAACACCAATACTTCATTTGGAACGTTCCAAGGAGCTATTTATGAAATGTATGAGCTACTGAAATAGCTTACATAGTTCAAACATTTCAAAGTGGGATAGATGAAGATGTGGCCATACCCATTCGTTTTCTCAGGTCCGGCATGGAGTGCCCACTGCACCATAACACCCAGGAATCCCGATAGGAGGTCACCTTGCCCACCACATCTGCGGTTACTGCCCTGGAGGTTGCATTCGAGAACTGCAGAGCAAAAGTGAGATGGGTGTTAGAGCGAGTGGCTTTTCTCTGCTCAAGTTGTGTTCCAGGTCACCTACCCTAACCCTTACCCCAATTGTTCTTATCAAACAAGCCTGTGTTTTCCAGGAGAGGAAACTGAGGAAGGCAGAGGTCTGGCTGCCCCAGAACCACCTGGTTAGTATCGTGGTCAGTAGACACATGACTCAGCCATTGAGGGATCTGCTGATGGAGATCAGAGAAGAACAAGCACAGCACCTGCGGGCCCTCCGTCCTGCAGGACACCTCACACCCCAGAGAATCCACCTTCATGGACATGCACACAACGCTAGCGCCTCCTGAGTGGGATAATCCTCATGACTTCATTTCTGTTGTGTAATGAGAAGTTTCTACTTCTTTGGAAAATATCTTGGAAACATGTTATTATATGTTCTGAGTGTGTGAGAGCACCATCCAGCAACAAAAGAACACAAAGTTTTCAAGATCCCTCAGAGAACACTCACTCCGTCTCCTGCCCGGCATGCGAGAGAGACAAAGTGAGACATAGGTGACTAAGATGCCTTCTGTTCTCTGTTGGCCCTGACTTCAGTGATCCAGTCAGCAATTCTATACCTAGATGACTGTTCTTTATATTACATTCTCTCTGTTAAAATAACTGGCATATTTTTTGCCTGTGGATCAGATGTTTCCGTTTTCAGGGAGCTAGAGATGTGACACAATCTCTGGTTGTGAACATCCTTGTGTAGATATGAGCAAGTCTGACAGTCCATTTTGCTCTCACTAATCGGTCTACAGACTCCTATGAAAAGAATGGGACCAGAAGATTTGTCACATTCATCACCTAGTGATTCCCACCACCAGTGTCACTCCTGGGGTTTCTTCACTTTTTTAAAAAAAATAAAAGGACAAAATGCAGTAAAATATTCAGGTAACTTCATGTATGTTGCAGGCAACACACAGGTGGCAGGGAGTGAACTCTGAAGCACCACCTGCTATTAGAGCCACCTTCCCACTGGGCTGCTGCTTATCAATCGTTAACAGAATTTACCCACTGCACCGGGTATCAACTGGGATCAACACTGAGCCTGGTATCACTTCCCTTTGCAAAACAGTGAAAAATGAAAATGGACTTTGAAGAAGGCATGGCTAAAAGCTCATCGGGAAGTCCCTCTGTCTGTGGAACATGTGATGCGTATGATGTGTGAAATATAAGGGATCACATGTGATGTACGAACATGTGAACAAGGTTTTCCTAGGGCTGTACCCACAGGGCCGCACTTGGTGAAGCCCAAGGCCACTCACCCTGTTCACCATCGGAGATCACGTCCTGCTCCCCCTTCTGGACCACAGTCACATTCCCCAGGGCCTGACTGAGTCTCAGCCCAGCTCCGCGGCGATCACTGCTGTCCACAGGGTCTGTCAGCTACAATGCAGGACACCGCAGGCAAAGCTGTCGTTAGACACTTGACAGGAGCCCACAAGTGTGGATACAATGAACTTCATCCTGATCCTCAGACTCTCATATCTGAGGGAATCTCCCAGCACAAGACAACCCTCCATACAAAGACACACGTTCCATCCACCATCTGGAGGCCTAGAAGGATGCCAGCACAGGGGCTTTAGAAATATTGCTCTTGTGCCCGGCCCCTACCTTGTCAGATCAAAGGTAAAGAACACGCCCCTGGCTGGGATTTTAAAGGTCTGCAGAAGGGATTCAACTTCAAACATAATGCACTAATATTTATGGAGCCCTTGATATGTAAGGACTCGTGAATTTACATGTATTATTTCATCTCATCCTCACATACACTATGAGGCAGATGCGCTCATTATCCACCTTCCACAGGTGAGGTAATGCAGGAGCGGGATGGAGTTATCTGCCCAAAGTACATAGCAGGAGGGGCGACTGACCCCAGAGCACACCACCCTGCCTTTCCTCCAATCAAAGATGCACTGGTTGGAAGATGTCCCATCATTACACACACCACCAGGAGAAAAGCACAACTGTTGGCACATGAAAAATGCATCGTAGAAAATGCATGCATCCGCTCCACACCTGCAAGTCTGTCCCTGCAGACCCTCCCAAGGGGCCCAATGGGTGCAGAGCCACAGAGCGTGTTCTTTGTTCCTCCTCAGGATGAGGAGGGCTTGCGCTCTGTGTTTCCAGGGGTCAGCAAACTCACCACGGCTTCCGAGAGCCTGAGGAACTCCACGTGGTTGGGAGTGAGAACGGCCTTCCTGTAGCCTTGGATGAGGGTCGGCTGCTGAGCTATCAGCCACAGCCCGTCCTGCACAGAACAAGGACTCCCCTTTACTGCACGGCCTTGGGCACCCGGCTACGTGGGGACAGGAGAGGAGAGGCCACACTCACTGCATCAATGACGACAGGGATGGCTCTGGCCTTGGATGCTTCTAAAATGCCCTGTGAGAAAAGAGAGCTATGCTGAGCAACAAGGCCATCATCTCCGAGGAATCAAGAGAAAACCAAGCAGTTCCCTGATGAATTTCAACATTAGCTTATCAACAAATAGAAAGGAAATAATAAGGTAATTGCCTAAACAAACAGAAAAGGTTAAAATGAACTGATAGGACACAGGTAACTCTCAAAACATAAGCCCACGGGCAACATTACACACAGTGCTGGGTCCCACACTGGCCAACTCCAAGCTAGTGTCCTCAGATTTCTAATAGATACTAATCCTCAGGGTTCAGAAATGAGAAATCGGAAGTCCTGGGAATTCCCCAAATTATCAGCTTTTCATATTCATGGGCTTTATGTATTTTTCACACAGCTTTTACGTATTTTTTCACTTCATGTGTTTTACAATAATGTGGTCATAATAATAAAAAAAATCATTTCTCTCTGAAAAGGTTATACTCCAAGTTCCAGAGGTTTTTTGCTAAAAAAAAAGAAAAAATTTAAAAAATATATAGGGTGTGGCAAAAGTAGGTTTACAGTTGTGAGTAGGCAGTTTATTCTTGTATTTTTATTTATTAACTAGAGGCTTAGTGCACGAAATTTGTGCGGGGGGGGGGGGGGGGAGGGGGTGTGTGTCCTTCAGCCCAGCTGCACCCTCTCCAATCCTGGGGATGTCCAACTGCCTCTCACAATCTGGCTCCTAACCACTCACCTGCCTGCCTGTCTGATCGCCCCTAACCACCTCTGCCTCGCCCCTACACCCGGGACCCAGGATTCTCTCTTCTGGCAGGTCACAGGCACCAGGACCCGGGTTTCCCGCCCTTTGGGCAGCCACAGGCACCCAGGACCATGGGGCAGGCGGCTTGTCCCTCTCCTGAGTTGGTGCCCCAGCCACTGGCTCCTGGGATGCAGTGCAGGTGGCTTGTTTCTCTCCTGGGCTGCAGCCTAGCTAGACCCCTCCTCCCTCCAGTGTTGAGTGTCTGAGCTGTTAATGTATGATGGCATGATGACCATTTGCATATTAGCTCTTTATTATATAGGACTGTATTATCTTCTATATGAACAACTGTAAACCTACATTTGTTCCACCCTGTATATATGATCAGCATGTGGTTACTTATTATTATTAATCAGTAGAGGATTACATATTGCATTAGCATGTAAAAACCTCTACCTTATACATGTGATAGAAAACATGAGAAAATAAAACAAAATATATGGTAAGCAGAAATAAGATGAACCCGAGCCTGACCCCAAACCCTGCCACTGCTAACATGGCTCAGTCTGGATGCTGGGACTTCCCAACACCTCAAGTGTAAACCACATAAACATCAGGGTGACACCCCTGAGGCAGAACATCTGAACGATTCCACTGTGATTTCCACCTGCTACAGTAGAAAATATTTGTCAACTCTACCTCTGACAAAGGACCTGCAGGAACCCCCATCTGCCCCTCTGCAGACAGTCACCCAGTGAAGAGGCGCTGCACACCTTCTGTAACCTGTCAGAGCACCACTGACTCAGGACACCAAGTGCGTGGCAGATGTTTACAGGAGAGGCTCCCCTTGGAGAAACTGAAGGATCTAGCACTTCTCAATCATGATTAAGTCCTACTTTTCAGCATGAGGTGAAGACTTTCAAATATCTGAACAACACTGCCTGACAAACTTGCACACCCCATGCTAATCCAGGAGGCTTAAAGCCAGGAGAATCCTAAATCAAATCCTCTACTTTTCACAATGTGTCATCTAGAACTACTTTTAAGTTTTATTCGACAGCCTCTCAGATTATTTACCCTGAATGTACAACCTCTCTAGGCAAGCGCTTTGTGCCAGGAGTGAATAGCTGCCCATCCCACCCCCAGGTGTCTGTTACCGCAGCTTCTCATTTCAGAGCCCGTGAAGCACAGGGCCTTCTGTTCAGAGCTTCTCAATAGCCCGGCACCCCACAGACTTCAGTTCTAGGCAGCGGGGTCCTTTTCTTTGGAGGATTTTCATAAATGAACAACTTTTAAATGCAAATTAGTATGAGACATAGGAGAGAAATATAAGCAGGCACACCTCCAAGTCCCATTCTCAGGCATAACTCAGGATACGTTGGTTTTTTTCCCCAGCTTTACTTGAGTGTAGCTGATAAAAAATTGTATAAATTCAAGGTATATGCCTGATGTTTTGATACATATATTATGACATAATCACCACAATTAAGCTAACACTTAAGATCTTCCTGCCTCTTGGCAAATTTCAATATACAATACAGCGCTGTTGACTCTGGTCACCACACTCCACATCAGAACTTGTTCATCCTGCCTAACCGAAAATGTGGACACCCTGACCAACACCTCCCAGTCCCTGGCTGCCACCCTTCTCTCTGCCTCTATGAGTTCGACTATTTTGACTCCACACAGAAGTGAGATCATGCAGTATGTCTTTCTGCAGCTGGCTTTTTTCACTCAGCATAATGTACTCTAGAGGATACACATTTTAATCAACCCCTTTGAAAGAGGCAATAATAAATGTATTTACTTTCAATTTTAAAGTAAAAAACAAATGTATTGCTCAAATCCAGTCACCTGTCACTTGTCATAGCTCCATTTCTTCTAAGTGATTTTCACAGGTTTGAGGAACCCCAACTTTTACCTCAAAGGCTAGAACTGGAAGATCTGTCATGGCAGATACCATGTTCTCACTAAATTCTAGCAAAGCAAACACATGCCCTTTTAAAAATGTTCTTTACCAACCAGACCGCTAAGAAAATACAACACACAGCTACCTATACCTTCCTTTCACTCTGTTGTTGAATTTTAATAGGCAAAAGCTGAGCCGAAAAGAGCCCTCTCAGTTAATGACGATGAGGATGCTAAATCATGTTTCATATGACTTCGAATCCTTCAGTGGGCACAAGGCCAAGCACCATCTGAGGCACCAGGCACATTCTCTGATTTGGAGCTCACTCCCGACCTACTGAGGCTACAGCACCGCCTCACATAGGATGCACTGACGGCCTTCTCTGGGGTTGGTGCTGGGCAGTCCCCAAGATGTGACCACCCGAGAGCAACGCCCTGGAAGTGTCAAAGGCTGCCGAGCAGCGAGAACACACAGAACAGGGGACTGGCATGCTCGCTACCCATTCCCCGGTTCTGGCTGGTATTTAACTTTATTAGGATAAGAAATTTTCATCTTTTTAGAGTAAGACAGACACAAAGTAAAATTCTCTGTAATAAAGAACAGCATAAATGAACAAGTAAATGAACATATATGTATGTATGTGTGCATAACTAAGGTCTTATGCCCTCTCTGCAACACCGGGCGCCGGGAGCGCTTTATAAAATGTGGCTCTCGGTAACTCCTGGAGCACATCTCCCCTTGAGAGGGAAGCACGAGGCCTAGGAGGCTGACTGAGCAAGCTGCCAGGGTCCCCAACCCACCGGGAATCATAGTGGAAGATGAACCTGAGCCTGACCCCAAACCCTGCCACTGCTAACATGGCTCAGTCTGGATGCTGGGACTTCCCAACACCTCAAGTGTAAACCACATAAACATCAGGGTGACACCCCTGAGGCAGAACATCTGAACGATTCCACTGTGATTTCCACCTGCTACAGTAGGAAAAAGCCAGTGCCCCAAGAATAAAAGTTTCCTTCAGTCTGGTTTTTATTTTTAAGTTCATTACCATCTTTATGCCTAGTTCCTCCTCTATCTTTCAAACCAAATTTTATCCTTCTTAATTAATCTATCACAAGACACACAGACCACTAAACAACAGAAATTTAAGAAAAATGTCTCTGTCCTGACGTCCCAGGATCTTAGCATCCATTCTATCAGAAGTGTGTTTGGTGATTCTATATTTTACCTCGACGTTTTTGAGAAGAGCGTCTTCTCTGCCTAAGCCAGGCCCGACAACCAGGGCATGCAGTCGAGGCAACCACTTTTCCACTTCATGAACCGCATCAGGGCTGTCACTAAAAAAAGAAGGGCAGACAGTTTACTTAAGATTTCATCTGAAACCACAGATTTTTCCCAGTCCCCACCCCAATGTCCTTTTCCTGTTCCAGGCCCCCACCCTGCACTTAGGTCTCCTTGTCTTCTCCCAGAGACTGGTTCATCTTTTAACACCCCTACAGAGATGTCTAGCTTCCAATATTTAAATACCATCCAGGGCATTATGCTAAGTGAAATAAGTCAGACAGAGAAAGACAGATATCACACACAGTGGTTCTTATATTTAGATGTAAGTTAAAATTTAAAAAAAACAACAACAACAAGCTCATAAAAACAGAGAACAGATCTGTGGTTACTAGAAGAGGGGAAAGTGGAGGGTGAGGATAGGTGCAATGGGTAGAGGAGGTATAAGTTTATTTAAAAAACAAACAAAAAAGGAATGGAGTTTGGATATATGCTACGATGAAGCTCAAAAACATTACGCCAAGTGACAAAAGGCAGACACAAAAGACCGCATATTGCATGATTCCATTCATAGGAATTGTTCAGAAAAGGCAAATATATAGGGACAGAGAGATAAGGTTGCCTCAAGCTAGGGGTGGAAATGGATAGGGGTTTTCTTGCTGGTAATGGAAGTGTTCTAAAATTAGATTGTGATGACAGTAACACTTTGGTAAATGCATCGAAGATCATTATACAACTAAAATGAGTGAGTTTTATAGTAAGCTATGGCACAATAAAACAGTTACACACATTAGAAATAGTTAATTTATGAGAGCAATAGTGAAGAGAGACACTGGGCCAGACATTAAATATTCAAGCAATGATCCAAGGGGTTGACATAGCTGCCATGAGTAGTGGTAGCAGAGTCTGACGGTGTGAGTTCAAAGAAGCTGCAGGTTTCAGGAATGAGAGCAGGGCAATGGTCTGGGAGGAGCAATGAGGAAAAGGAGGATGCACATCTCACTTCTAGACCCAGTGGTACATGAGGGGTCAAAGGAAAAGCCACCTCCACTTGAAAGGCTTGAAGGGAAAGCCATACCCTCTGGGAATAAGCATACAAGGCAAAGGAGGGAGTGGCATTAGCAGGAAATAAGGTAAGTGCTCATTATAGTAAATAACAAAGACCAGCCTGGCTAAACAGAGTACCAGCAAGTGAATGACATGAAAGAAGTAGAGGCATTCACTGTAATGAAACTCAAGCATTCAGAACCTCTCACTTGCTGAGCCCCTTCCAAGGCCCAGTGAGGGTCCTTAGTAATTTATTCAAGTAGTCCATATGGTTTTATAAAATCTGCAAAGGTAAGCAGAGGACTTGGGTCTCATCAAAGCTGAGCCAAAACAGAACTTCCTTCCCATAAGAAATAGAGTCAATAATACAGTGTATCCTATCTAATAAAGAGGGAATATGCTAATTGACTGTCACGCCCTCAAAGATGGCGGCACCCACAGCCACAGGATGGTGGTGCCCAGTAGCCTCAGACCCGCTGAGGCGATAGGTGCGCAGCATGGCCACTCTGCGTGCCTGCCTCCAGAGTCCCCCAGTCCCCTTAGCCCCCTAGCCCCCCAAGGCTGGGCCGAGGCACAGGTAAGCCTCAGATGGTGGCTGCCCAGCAGCCCAGGGCCGCCCAAGGCTCAGGTAACCAGGGCTGGCTGAGGCTTGCACTGCCGGCAGGGGCAGCAGCAGAGGTGTGATGGGGGCATTGCTCTTCCCTGATCATCAGGTTGCCTCCCAGCTGTGAGGGCTCCCAGACTGTGAGAGGGGGCTGGCCGGGCTGAGAGACCCACCCCCCAGTGCATGAATTTTCATGCACCGGGCCTTCAGTATAGCTATAAACACCTTTTTTCTCCTTTTTTTTTTTTTTTTTAAAGTCTCATGCAATAAAAATTTACACACACCACAATAAGACATTATGGCTAATTTCAAAATTATCTTGACCAGTCTGTTTCCATCACACAGGAGTACAGTTAACAGTATAGACTTTACACTTATAGACTATTCCCTACATCAGACACTGGGGACGTTATCTAAAAATGCTTGTGTGACTGATTCCTTTACAACATTAAGAGGGCCCTCCTTTAGAACAAGACCTGACAGCTCTACAGAATTTTGTAGTTGTTTTTTTCACAAGTTGGCCTCTTCCCGCTCCCCACCCATCTGCTCCCAAACAGGTGTTCCCAAATGGGTCCTCCCTACCTACATACCCTCTTGTGTGGCTCACCTTTGTTTCTGGGCTTTAAACACCATCAACAACTACATTTACATCTTCCCTGACTGCCCTACCCCTATCCTGTGCTTACCAGCTACACCTGTTTGGCTATCTAACAGGCAACTAAAAACATGTCCAAAACCCAACTCCTGACCACCACCCTCACCCAAACCTGCTACCCCCGATTCCCAACCACATGAAATGAGAGCTCGCTCAGCCCAAACCCTGAGTGACATTCATGACTGTCTTCTTTTCCTTGTATCCCATGTCCCACCGCTTAGCAGATCCTGGTGCTGTACTTTCCAAATGTACCCAGAACCTGACCCATTGTCCAGTTTTTACCCCGTCATGTACCCATCACCAGGAGCCTCACAAGAGCTTTCTAGTGGGAATGCTTCCACCCTGGGCTCCTAAAGCTTGTACTCAATACAGCAGCCAGAGAAGCCTTTTAAAACATAAACCATCCCGTCCCTCCCCTGCTCAAATGCTCCAGCAGCCTCCTTCTCATTTATACAAAAGCCAAAAGCCTTACAATGACCCCCATAACCTGCTAAGCTTGGTTCTGAACTTCTAGCCACCGAGTACCCGAGTGCTCCCCCACACAGCTGCAGCTTGAGCTCTTGCACCAGCTCTTCCTGTGTATGGAAGGGCCTCCCCCTTTCCCCATGTCTGTAGAACTTGCTCCCTTATTATCTCCAAGCCTTTACTTGAATGCCCCTTGCTGTACCCATGACCACCCTGTTAAACACTGCACACAGAGCACATGCACCGCACGCACAGCTGCACTGCGTCCCCTCCCCTGCTCCCACCTCCCCAAGGTGCTCATCACCCTCCGACACACTCTGATCTGGCTTGTCCGTCTCCAGAGCTGTGTTGTCCAATATAGTAGATGCTAACCACACATGGCTTTTGAATTTAATTAAAATTAAAAAACTCAGTGCCTAAGTGCTACTGGCTACATTTTAAGTGCTCAGAAGCCATGTGGTCAGCAGCCACAGTGCTGGACAGCACCAAGGGAGAGCATTTTCATCATCGAAGGGCGTTCTGGGGCATGGGAGTAGGCGTTTTTGTCTCTCGGTGCAATGCTGTCCCTGTGGAACCAGGACAGGGCCTGCATGAAAGATCTGCTGAATGATGAACAGTTTTTTGTTTTTGTTTTAATATACATTTTATTGATTTTTTACAGAGAGGAAGGGAGAGGGATAGAGAGTTAGAAACATCGATGAAAAAGAAATATCCACCAGCTGCCTCCTGCGCACCCCCCACTGGGGATATACCCACAACCAATGTACATGCCTTTGACCAGAATCGAACCTGGGACCTTTCAGTCTGCAGACCGAGGCTCTATCCACTGAGCCAAACCATTTCGGCTGATGAACAGTTTTGTTACCAACTGATGGGCCCCTCATTCCTGTCATATGGGCACTGTCCACAGGCAGGCCCACAGACTCTCCTGGGCCTAAGAACCTCCAGCCATTTCTGACAGGCCAGCTCTGGGCACATCAGATCTTATCCCACGCGGTCCCACATGACCATCTTCTTCTGACCACAGACAATAGGCTCATTATAGTTTCCTCCTTTCTTCTGAAACACTTTACCCCACCAACTCTCAGTACGGAAGCTATTTAACTGAGACTCTTAGAGAGTCTGTAAAGACACCACATGACCAAGGAGAGTTGCAAGTAAAGCACCCATGTGCAGCCCCACTCACAGGACTGGATGAACAATCAGCTCCGGGCTGTACGACTTGATCACAGGTGCGGCCTCCCGGGTACAGAACACGTGGGATAAATCTGCTCCCTAAGAAATGAGCACAAGGGGATAACTTAGTGTGGGAATGACTCAAAACATACCCAAAGTGGCTTCAGCAACAGCCATTCAACATTTTCTTTTTTTTTTTTTTTTTAATATATTTTATTGATTTTTTTTACAGAGAGGAAGGGAGATAGATAGAGAGCTAGAAACGCCGGTGAGAGAGAAACATCGACAGCTGCCTCCTGCACACTCCCTACCGGGGATGTGCCCACAACCAATGTACATGCCCTGGATTGGAATCGAATCCGGGATCTTTCAGTCCACAGACCGACGCTCTATCCACTGAACCAAACTGGTTTTGGCCCATTCAACATTTTCATCATCAAAAATTACATAGCACTATCCGTAAAAAAAAACCACACACACACACACACACACACACACACAAACATACCTACTGTAGCAGTTAAAACTACAAGGAGGAGGCTGAGACGGCGTAACCTAAGAAAAGGCCAGAAATAAAGGCAGACTTTCACAGCTGCCCAAGAGACAGGTCAACCCAGACCAGCTCAAACTGCCTCACTGAGCTGTGAGGCTCACGGGAAGCAATGCAGCCCTGGAGCTGAGCACAACTCACAGTAACTGTGCTGACTGGGTGGTTAGGACTTGATCAAAAGGCATGAGCAATCGCCCAAGTCCAAAGATGTCTTATGCTGGGACTGAAAGGCAGCCCAGGATTATTCTGGTGAAGTACAATTCTAACAAAACTTGATTAAAAAAATGAGTTTGAAGTTATTTTATCATTGCACAAGAGATCAGAGTACATTTAAAGATGTTTATCTTTGCCGGAAACCGGTTTGGCTCAGTGGATAGAGCATCAGCCTGCAGACTGAAAGGCCCCAAGTTAGATTCCGGTCAAGGGCATGTACCTCGGTTGCGGGCACATCTCCAGTGGGGGGTATGCAAGAGGCAGCTGATTGATGTTTCTGACTCTCTATCCCTCTCTCTTCCTCTCTGTAAAAAATCAAAATTAAAAATAAATAAAAATGTTTCTCTTACCCATAATTACCTGAAGATGTTATCTAGATTTTTATTGGAAAACATTTGCTTTAAACATATTTAAATAATCCAATTGTTCCTAATAAAGAAGATATAAGTAAACATACCACTTTGAGAGCTGAGATTGCTGCAAAATAAGGGGCTCCAGTGTACCTAAAAAGAAGATAGTTACAGTCTAAAACTTGAGAATGAGGCAGGCACACCAGGTTTATCAATAAAAACCATACAGAAGTCAAGCACCTAGCACAGGGCCGAACCCCTAGCAGGTGCTCAGTAAATGTTCAATAAACATGGATCAGGACCAGAAAAGACAGTCTTTCACCTGAGACCTTTGTACTATGTCAGGAGGGGCAGATTCTGGCTTCCTGTGACTACTGTCTTCCTGTAATGGCTATGTGCAAACTGAAGGCTTGAGGTGATGGTTTTAGGGGTTCATACATATGTCAAACTTATGCAATTATATATCAAGTAGAACTCAATAAAGTTGTTAAAGAATAAATCTTATAATATAAAATAGTTCAGCTAAGTTGCCAGATTTCTATCAACCTAAAAAAAAAAAAAAAAAAGATAAAAATAGCATTTTTCTATACTAGGAGTAATAGATTAAAAAATATGATAGCATCTATAATATCGGCAAAAACCATAAAGCACCTAGGAATTAACTTTATATAACAAATAAGCACTGTGGGGAAATTTTTTAAATCTATTAAAGAATACATTAGATGTACACTGGCTGAGATGACTTAATATTATTATGACACTTCTTTCTAGATTAATATAAACATAGATATATAGCCAAAACCGGTTTGGCTCAGTGGATAGAGCGTCAATCTGCGGACTGAAAGGTCCCAGGTTTGATTCCGATCAAGGGCATGTATACATTGGTTGCAGGCACATCCCTTGTAGGGGGTATGCAGGAGGCAGCTGGTCGATGTTTCTCCCTCATTGATGTTTCTAGCTCTCTATCCCTCTCATTTCCTCTCAATAAAAATTCAATAAAATATATTTTAAAAAAACAAAAACATAGATATAAAAAGTATTTGATTTATCAGAAATGCACACAGCTGCAAGTAGAAGAAATTGTAACAGCATTTGAACATAACTGGAGCTTTGTTAGCAAGGAAGATGGTTAGGAATATTAATTAGGAGGGAAAAAGCACCCCCAAAACTAAAGACTTAAGACAGTGAGAGTTTACGGAAGGCATCTGCCAGGAGAGAGTGTGCCAAGGTGGTCATGGGCCAGAGCACCTCACACTGGACAGTACCCAGGGAGCAGGAACAGTGTCTGGGAGCAACAGTCAGCACAGGCAATGGTCATCTTGATGGAGGGCCACCCGGGGCACCCAGTCCAAACAAGAAGAGACTCTCACACCTCCCTCTGGCTCCCATCCTTACTGCTCTGGAATGCTTGTAACTCCACTTTTAAGGTCACTTCAAAGCACAGAAAGAAAAACTCTTGAACTTAGCATCAGATGGTGACTGTAACTTTTATGTCAATTCCAAGCAGTGAAAAGTTTTGCTATCCCAGGAAAAACACACTGGGGAAAAACACATGCAGAGTGCACTCTATACCCATGACACTCTCCTGCAGAGCAGGGCCAATGTACCAGAAACACCAAAGGACAGGGCATGTCACACACACACAAGTTTTCTCCTCTCCAACTTTAAAGTTCATCACTGAAAAATACCAAATATCATAATATCAGACTACATTTGGAAATAATTACTGGGGGTTCAACTAGACAGACAGACAGTTGACTGGACAGCTGATAGGCAGGTAGACAGCCAGATAATAAAGATTAACTGTTTAAACACTAACATTTTCCAAGTCACTTACTCTTGGCAGCCTCCAACTATGCCTATTCTTCCAGCTTGCCCTTTGTACTTCTTGGTAGTTAGAGGAGGTATAATGTTTTTCACCAATTGAAAAGTATATTCCATATCCTTTATTGAATGTGCTTTATGCAGCGAGAATGCTCTTTTTAAAACTGAAAAACAGAAAAATAAAATTCCTTAGAATGGTAAATATCAATTGGTATATATAAAGAACAGAAGTTAAACAAAATCGTACATTAACCAAAATACTTCCCCAAGTTGACTCAAAATGAATGTTACAGATTTTTTACCCACTCGTCCCCTTATTTTATTTCTGTAAGCAAATGATGTTCAGAAATTACAAGACTAATACATGTTGTATAGGTCGTTTATTTTTTTAAATGGATCAGACATTTTGGAAGTCTACTTAATCTCAGGAAGTTTTTTAAAAATACATTATCAATTAATAAACTACACATATTTCATTTCAACTGTAGGTTAAGTTAATTCATCTCTTCTCTCAAATTGGAAAAGCAGTCTCCCATGTTACCTTACACTGAGACTCATATTATTTCCCCATTTATTATAATTTCCCAGCCATCTTTCCAACACTGAATTAGATACCAATTAAGTAATCTAGAAATGGCATTCTAAATATAGAACAAATCTTACACTGAGTTCACAGGCATTTTGAATTGACTCTAAATAGCTAATTTTAATTGGCCTTTCTTGAAAACAAGGCATTCAATATTTTTATCCTTTCAATTATTTCAGCAGCTAAGAAAAACTAGACACAGATCACAAGTTCAAGTGAAGATCAGAAGCAGGCTCAGCTCCACGTGGTCAAACAGCTTCACCTTTAATAACACTCTAAGAGTTTTACTTTTTATTCAACAAAATTATTCAAGTAACTTCCTTTAATGAGTAGATGTAAATGACTCTTCAGCTGTTTAGACCCCAAGATGCAAAGAGAACATTAATTACCTTCAGCCCAAACACCTTTAAACCAACACAGGATTAAAACTCAAAACAATCACTGTAATTTAGGCTTAGGCAAGGATCAATAAAACTGGCTGATCCTCTACTCCCAATGGCTTTCCTCATATGCTATATTCTGCTCCGATGAGGTGTTCATAGTAGTTCTTCCCATCCTGACTCAGATCCTATTGGCAGAGATGCTGAACTAAGGGAGTAATTCCACTCTCACTCCACCCCCACCACCATCATCAGCTTTCTGCAGTTACTGTGAAATGCTCTTTTCTGGCGTTTCCTGATGAGCTGCATGAAAGAACCCAGAGCTGTTATAATCAGATTTAATGACGGCATCTCTGACTGCATATGAGCAGTGTATGCGGTCAGGAAAATGTTTGCCATGCATGTTTCAAACTTGAACATATGTAGCTTAATAATAAATATGACTGGCCCTGACCAGTTTGGCTCAGTGGATAGAGTTTCGGCCTGGGGACTGAAAGGTCCCAGGTTCGATTCCGGACAAGGGCATGTTACCTTGGTTGTAGGCACATTCCCAGTTGGGAGTGTACAGGAGGCAGCTGATCAATGTTTCTCTCTAATCGATGTTTCTCTCTAATCGATGTTTCTCTCTATCCCCCTCCCTACCTCTCTGTAAAAAAAAAAAATCAATAAGATATATTAAAAAAATAATAAATATAACTGGTTAATACAAGAATACTAGAGAATGTCACTCCCTCAAATTCCCCAGATCAATAAGCACAACTGCTTAAAAACAACAACAAAGGCTAGAAATTTTAAAGACAGAATCTAAACTTACCAGTCACTTAAGGGTTGTTCTGGTCCCTATGTTTTGGGTTTATTAGATACCATCACTTTACACTCAATACTTAACCCACACAAAATCTCCCTAAGAGATTTTCTTCCCTGTCCTACTGCCTGTGTTTGAAGGCTGTCTGTAGCATAGTGTCTCCTTCTGCCTTTCCAGGTGCAATTCTAGAAAACAGCCCAGGCTTAAGAAATCTGTGTGATTCTCCAGACTTTCTCAGCCATACTTCTCCAAAACAAATAAAATGCAGGCCGGTTTTACCTGTTCTCCCAGTCTCAGAATTGTTATGAAAACAAAGTTACATAATAGGATAAATTTTAAGTCACCTCTTGTCCAGGCCTTTTTGTCCTTTAAGACTCAGAGGCCCACTGCATGAAAATTCATGGCAAGGGTAGGCCTTCCTTCCCCCGGCTGCTGGCACCCAGGACCCGGGCTTCCCTCCTCGGGCTGCCTGCAGGCACCTGGGACCCAGGCTGGTTTCCCTCCAGCCGCGTCTTTGTCAGGAAGGACATCTGGCCTAATTAGCATATTACCCTTTTATTATTATAGACTAAAGGCCCCGTGCACGGATTTGTGTCAGGTGGGTCTCTCGGCCTGTCCTGCTGGGATAGGGCCGAAACTGGCTCTGTGACATTCTCTGAGGGGTCCTGAATTGCAAGAGGGCTGTTCTCGAGTGACACACAGTGAGGAAACTCAGGTCCACTCAAAAGTGAATAAGGAATTCCTAACAAACACAGCTTTGCCACTTGTAATTTGCCACTCACAGCTTTCTTGAGACTGATGTCTCTGTGCGAAGACCATAACTCGAGCACATGACAACAGTGCTCAAGTTAACGGAGATGGGCCTTAAAGTGAGGATGGATAGAAAGGACACCAGCACCTGCTTTTAGTAAAGTTCAGCAAGTCAGTCTAATAATGAAACGTCACATTCAAAGGAAATCGTACTAACTCATAGTATGTGCATTTAAGACAAACAGCTACCAACAAAAAGTCTCAATAAGGCCGAAACCGGTTTGGCTCAGTGGATAGAGCGAAGCTCTGTGGACTGAAAGGTCTCAGGTTCGATTCCGGGCAAGGGCATGTACCTTGGTTACAGGCACATCCCCAGTGGGAGGTGTGCAGGAGGCAGCTGATCGATGATTCTCTCTCATCGATGTTTCTAACTCTCTATCCCTCTCCCTTTGTGAAAAATCAATAATATATATATATTAAAAAAAAAGTCTCAATAAGTTATTATTAAAAGAAAAAAAAGTCTCAATAAGTTGGTGCCCAGAAAGCCCCTCTGCTGCCGGTATGAATGAGGCGCGTTAGCTAAGGAACCCCTCTATTCTCCTCAAAGCCTTCGGACCCGCCTAACAATAAAGGGCCAAACTCCCTAACAGTGACTCTCGCCGCATCCGGCCGGAAAGCTCGGACCCGCGCGGCCCGGCCCGGGGCCCTCGACGCCCGCGCCGCGCACAGGCCGCGCGCATCACTCTGCTCCCGCGGACCCGCCCCACCAGCGCCCCCTCCCCCGCCGGGACCAGCGGCCGCGGCCGGGTACCTGCGTCCAGTGGCGGCCCGTAGAGCGCGAGCGCGGCCGAGAGCAGCGCGACAATGGCTGCGCCGGCGACCGCAGCCCCCACCCCCGCCGGCCGGGCCATGCCGTAATGATCTTACCTCGCCGGCAGGCCTGGGCTGCGAGCCAGCCGGGAGCCACAGCCATGGGCGAACTTCCGGGCTTCCGCCCGCCCCGCGCCGCCGCCGGAACCAAAGTCGCCGGGGGAACTTCCGGGGTCCGGGCTGCCTCTGCGCCGCCGCCGGACGTTAGTTCCCTTTCGCTGTGGCCTGGGTTTGGCTTCTTGCACTCTCGCTGGGTCCGCTGCAGTTTCGCTGGAAGGTGGATTGCTGTGTCGAGATGCGTCTTAATGCATCTTGAGTTGTTTTTATCGTTTCTTTTCTATAATCCAAGGGGCATTATAGAAAGTAATGGAGGCAGAAAGCTGCCCATTTTACCGTTTCAGCTACATACTTCCAGGTGTGTAGAAAGTTAGCTCCAATGGAAAAGCTTTATCTTTTTCTGTTGTATCCTGAACATGACACGTGGTAGTTAGGTGTTCATTCTGTCTTTCTTGAGGTGTAATTTACATAACAATAAATGTTACTAATTTTAACCGTACAAGTCTATGAGTTTTAACAAATGTGTACAATCATGTAATCACCACCACAATCTTGATTTAGAACTTTCCTGTCCATACACCCAAATCCTGCTTTTGTTTTGATACTATTATGCTATTTTTAAAATTATTTTAAATTTTATTTTTTTATTAAATTATTATCTGTGTACATATTTTACAATTGCCCCCCTCATACATACCCACCCTCCCAGAGTTTTGTGTCCATTGGTTGTACTTATATGCATGAATACAAGTCCTTCAGTTGATCTATTATCTCCCCCAGATCTCCCTCCCCTCCCCGCTGTAATTTGACAGTCTGCTTGTTGCTTTGCTGTCTCTATATCTATCTTTTGGTTTATCAGTTTATAATGTTCTTTATTATCCATAAATGAGTGAGGTCATGTGGTGTTTCTCTTTCATTGACTGGCTTATTTCACTCAGCATGATGTTCTCTAATTCTATCCAGGTTGCTGCAAATGATGAGAATTCCTTCTTTTTTATGGTAGATTAGTATTCCATTGTGTAGATGTACCATGGGTTTTGGATCCAATCATCTGCTGACAGGCACCTAGGCTGTTTCCAAATCCTAGCTATTGTAGATTGTGCTGCTATGAATATAGGGGTGCATATATCCTTTCTGATTGGTGTTTCTAGTTTTTTGGAATACAATCAGAGGAGTGAGATTACTGGGTCAAATGGGATGGGAGTTCCATTTTCAGTTTTTTGAGGAAACTCCATACTGTTCTCCACAGTGGTTGCACCAGTCTGCATTCCCACCAGCAGTGCACGAGGGTTCCTTTTTTTCCGCAACCTCGCCAACACTTGTCGTTTGTTGATTTGTTGATGTTGGCCATTCTGACAGGTGTGAGATGGTACCGCATTGTTGTTTTGATTTGCATCTCTCGGATAATTAGTGACTTTGAGCATGTTTTCATGTGTCTCTGGGCCTTCCTTCTGTCTTCTTTTGAAAATATTCTATTTAGGTCCATTGCCCATTTTTTAATTGGATCAATCATTTCCTTTTATTTATTTGTATAAGCTGTCTGTAGATGTTGGAGATTAAACCTTTATCCGTGATAACATTTGCAAATATGTTCTTCTATACAGTGGGCTTTCTTGTTGTTTTGTTGATGGTTTCTTTTGCTGTAAAAAAGCTTTTTATTTTGATGTAGTCCCATTTCTTTATTTTCTCTTTGGCTTCCATTGCCCTAGGGGCAGTATCAAGTAAAGAAGTTCTTTTGGCATGTGTCTGAGATTTTGCTGCCTGTGGATGCCTCTAGTATTTTTATGGTTTCCCATCTTATGTTTAAGTCCTGTATCCATTTTGAGTTTATTTTTGTGTATGGTGTAAGTTGATAATATAGTTTCATTCTTTTGCATGTATCTGTCCAATTTTCCCAACACCATTTATTGAAGAGACTGTCTTGACTCCATTGTATGCTCTTGCCTCCTTTGTCAAATATTAATTGAGCATAGTGATTTGGGTTGATATCTGGGTTCTCGATTCTATTCCATTGATCTATATGTTTGTTCTGTGCCAGTACCAGGCTGTTTTGAGAACAGTAGCTTTGTAATACAGCTTGAAATCTGGTATTGAGATCTCTCCTACTTTACTCTTCTTTCTCAGGATTACTGTGGCTGTTCGGGGTCTTTTATTGTTCCAAATGAATTTTTGGAGAGTTCTTTCTAGGTCAGTAAAATATGGTATTTTAATGGGGAGTGCATTGAACCTATAGATTGCTTTGGGAAGTATGGACATTTTGATGATGTTGATTCTACCAATCCATGAACATGGTATGTTCTTCCATCTGTTTACACCTTCCTCTATCTCTTTTTTCAGTGTTGTGTAGTTTTCCGCATATACGTCGTTTACTTCCTTAGTTAAGTTTATTCCTAGGTATCTTAATTTTTTTGGTGCGATGGTAAATGGGATTGCCTTTTTAGTCTCTGTTTTATTTTTAAATTTTTAAAATATATATATAATTGACTTTTTACAGAGAGGAAGAGAGAGGGATGGAGTTAGAAACATCGATGAGAGGAAAACATCGATCAGCTGTCTCTTGCACACTCCCGGGAATGTGCCTAAAATCAAGGTACATACTCTTGACTATAATAGAATAGAACCTGGGACCTTTCAGTTTGAAGGTTGACACTATCTACTGAGCCAAACTGGTTTCAGCTTAAATTTTTAATTGTTAATTGCATATACGTGGAAACACAATTGATTTTTATATATTGACCTTGCTAAATTCCTTTATTAATTCTAGCAGATATTTTTGAAGATATTAGTTTATATACTTTGACCTTTCTAAATTCATTTATTAGTTGTAGCAGACATTTTTGAAATTACTTGGGATCTTCTATATAAGCAGTCAGTCTGCCCCATTTTTTTTTTTTTTTTTTTTGGCAATAACTTCAACTTCAATCACTTGGTAAGGATTGTTCATTACCAGTATGAACTCCTGAATTTTTGTTTTATTTGGTACAAATTCATGTATTTTTATTTATTCAGAATTATTTATCTATTATCCACTAGGTTACTTACTGCTAGTATGAATTCATTTTAATTTTGTTGTATGCATTTGTCTTAATTAATTTATATATTGCATTACCCTTTTTTAATATTTTAGATGAAATGTGTTGAAATATTTATATTTCTTTTTAAATATACTTTGTATTATTGACCAGGGGCCCAGTGCAGTGCACAGGGGCTGGGTTCCTCAGCCCGACCTGCACCTTCTCCAATCTGGGAGCACTCAGGGGAGCCCTCTCCAATCTGCGAGTTTCTGTCTGTCTTTTCAATCATATGAGTGAATTGTCTGAGACCCCAACCCAGTTTGGTTTGTTGCTCACAGAATAATAGAGGCATTTTTTTTTTCTTTGCTTCATTGGTGGAGATTTCCTGGAAGTTTTAGGCTATCTTCCCTTTAATTTTTCCTAGACACTCTGATTTTACTTAAGTCTCTCACCTTTGCTTTCTCTCCATCCCTTACCACAACAGTAACTTGCACCACACTCACTTTGCTCTAGTGTCTAGGAGATCCTTCTGCCACCAGAACTACAATTCCCAGCATTCCTGGTGCTTCCCGCACTCTGGGTCTTCCCTTCCTGCTCTGTCTACATTCCATGGCCTCCCACTCTGCCAAGTCCTCCAAACCTCCAGCTCTCCCTCTCTGCTCTCCATCTGGTGGCTTGAGGGGCCAAGTTTTCCAAGCCACTCCACTCTTGACTGGCTGTTCTGTTCTGCTCTCCACCTGGTGCCATCTTTGTTGGGTCAATTTGCATACTCGCTCCTGATTGGCTGGTGAGTGTAGCAGGGGTACAGTCAATTTACATGTTTCTCTTTTACTATATAGGATAGTATTACAATATTTCCTCTTTCCCCCTTTCACCACCATCCTCCCTACCCACCCCCTGAAATATTTACATTTTAATGGGTCATCTGGGGCCCCAGCTTTAGAGTCATCTCTGATTCTTGTGATATTGTGAGTCTACCTTTCTTCAGAATGCTCAATATGATTTTTTTCTTGTGTTCCCCTTCCCTCAGATTTTGGAAAGGAGGGGAGCTATGTGTAAATTAAGAAAAATTGTAACTCTGGATCTTTCTTACTCAGCTGCAAAACTGTTAAGCATGAGAGTTGGCATTGCCCAATGGTAGCATTGTGGTGGAAAGATGTAAGAGAAAATATGTGCAGCTCATTGGACACTGATCTACTTCATGGTATTAGTACGATTTGCCTTCCAATGCCAAAACGACGAAGGAAAAGATTACCAGTTCAAAATGTATACAATCATTTAATTTCTTTTACATCACCTCTGAAATAAGACACGTTGATCCATCTCTCTGGCCAGGTTGAGAGGTGAATGTGGACGAGAAAGAGGCCACATACTAAACCTAACTGGCTCAGGGGAAGCCTGTATGGTGGGCCTTACAAACTTAGACCTAAAGTAGCTACATAGGATATCTAAAATTAAAACTTCCTAACTAAAAGCAAGTCATGACAGATAGTCATGTCCTAGGCTGGTATCTTTCTTGATGAGGGAAGCTGAGCCTGTCTATTGTCTTTTTGCATCCAAGATAACATCCCTTTGGAATGTCAGAGTAATCCCCTTTTTCCCAGACCTCTCAAGAGCACAATCTCCCACCAGAACATGAGACCACAGAACCCCTATTATTTTTTTTTTAAATATATTTTATTGATTTTGTACAGGGAGGAAGGGAGAGAGATAGCAAGTTAGAAACATTGATGAGAGACAGAGTCATCGATCTGCTGCCTCTTGCACACCCCCCACTGGGGATGTGCCTGCAACCAAGGTACATGCCCTTGACCGGAATCGAACCCGGGACCCTTCAGTCCCCAAGCCGATGCTCTATCCACTGAGCCAAACCGGTTTCAGCAGAACCCCTATTATTATCTTGTTGCCCAAATGCCATCTCTATGTACTGTAAATGTTAATTGTTAACTATCCTATGCCCACCAATGTAAAAGAAGTATATCTTTCTCCATTTTACTCTTTATCCAATCTCAGATTTATCTGCTTGGCTTTC